GCTTTTGAAGCAGCCACAAACGATGTGCCCATGCTGCAGAGAAGGGCAAGAAAATCCCTCTGCCAGAGCGTAATACCTGAGCCTGCTTATCCACATAGCCACTGAATGAGTCATTTATTGCTCAACTTTTAGTATCTGGGATTACATTTAGAACCCTTAATCTCACGGGAAGGAGGGAAGCCGTTGGCTTTGGTGTTGAGCTAACAGTTTAAATCTAGGAGTGAGGGAAGAGAGAACAGTATTCAAGGTGTGACTACAGACGGGCCCCCACTGATTACTATAAAAGTGAGTTGCTGAGTGGGGCTTCATATATATACAAGCATTGAAACCAATTAATCAAAGAAACTGCAGCGAATACGAACGTAGACCTGACCCCTCCAGACCAGACGCTGGAACTAGGTGCTCCTGCTTCCCTGTAGAAATGTCACTTGGCTTTTGCTTTTCTTGTTTGACTCTAACTAGGACTCCTGTGTCCGCCAGTCTTTACGCTGCAACCGGTTGACAAAGCTGGTAACCCTCCAGCTCCATTTTCTGAACACCAATCAGAGCACGATGCTGATTAACCTGAGCAGACAGAACCTGATGGATTGCATCATGTCCCTGCCCAGATTCTACCAGGTAAAGCGGTGCTGCAGCCATCCCACCCGGCCCACAAGGTGAAACGTCGCTCCCAGGGTTTCAAGTGGGAAACGTGTTGGAGAGTAAAGCCACATAGCAGTGGCCACGACCATGTTAGAGGCAGCCCTAGCAGTGTGGGAAGCCAGTGGGAAAGGCATTTTCCTTCTCTGCTTCTGTCATTCACTCAAGGCAACCCCCTCCGACAGAAACAGAGACTTTGTAAGAGAACGAAACCCCTTCCTCAGCAGAGCTGGAACCTCCCTCCTCTAGCGAGTGGGTGCGAGAATATTCCAGCCTCTTTGGTTTTCATGGAGATGAATTCTCCAGGCAACATATGTTCTCCAGTTGTGTGGCTTTGGACCTTTGCATTGACTGTCCAGACACCCCTCCTGTGCCGTTTCTTGGCCTTTCTGTCAAGCTCTTGCCACTTTTTAAGAAATGTCAGAGGGACCTGCCACTCCATGTTTTTATGTTAGTCATCTGAGTTCCTGCCTTCTCCTTTCTCTCCTCTCCCGATTGGCTCCAAATTCCCATTCACTCCAATAAGCAGAATTGTCTGGCTTTGAATTCCCCCCATCCCCACCTCATTTTCCAGTTTCTCTTCTCTCTCCATCATGCTTAATCCCCATTGCACAGGGTGCTGGTTTATCTGTAGCGCCAGTGACCCTGGCATTCCTCCTCGAGACACCGGCACAAAGAGCTGAGCCACAGAGGCTGTGGCAGCCTGCACTGGAAATGCTTGAGAGCGGCCCAAATGCAGACAGGAGCAGACAAAGTCCGTGGCTGAAAGCTTCATCGGTGAAACCAGAGAGTGGCTCATCCTTGTGTGTAATTCTGGCATGTTCTCCTTCTAGGCTGCGATTGTGGCTGAGGCTTACAACTTTGTTCCAGACTGGGCTGAAGTTCTGTATCAACAAGTGATTATTAAGGGTGACTTCAATTACCTGGAAGAATTTAAGCATCAAAGGTTACTCAAATCTAGCGTGTTTGAGGAGATTGCAAAGAAGTGAGTATTCCTGCAGCAGAGAGGAGCTGTGCTTTTCGGTTTGCTGGCAAGGACTTCAGAGTGTGGTGTTACTCGGATTTGCTTATAGCGTATCCGTTCTCTGCCTTGGTGTCAGCACAGTCCACTGCGTGGGGAGACCAGTGCAGATTTGGAACTCTTGCCCCAGAGCCCCCCTCTTAAGCATGTTCAGGAGACCATGAGGTTGGCCCTCAGGAATCTACAATTAGATTCCTATCTATTTGAGAGGCGTTTGGCTGTGAGTGTCCATCTGTTAACGGGATGAACTAGGCCCACCAAAATTGGTATGCAGCTTCCTCAGAACTAACAGCACCGCGAGGGCTTGGGTGTGGCAGGACAATGGGATGTGCCTGGAATGGGATTGCTTCTCACAAACCATACAGAAAAGAGAGAATCGCCAGGCAGGTGGCAGGGGCTGGCTGGGGGTGCCCTGTGCCCCACCTCTGAGCCTCCCACCCCTAGGTGGCCTTTAGAGAGGGCAGGGGCTGAAGCCTCCTTCCCACATTCATACTGGACCATTGCCGCCTGTTCCCCTTTGTCAGGGAGGGAAAGTGAGTCGTTTGCTGCGTTTCTCACTCTCACTGGGAAGCACAGTGGGCGGATGAACCTGAGCCCAAGCTGCTGCGGTGAGAGAGGTGGGGGTGGTCCTCTGGCCCTGGGCAGCCTGCAGACTGAACGCCAGCCCCACCCCAGAGCAAGGGTTGAAATGTAGCATGGACACGTTCATTTTATTTTCCAAAAAACAAAAACTGAGTTCAGGACCTGAGCGTTGCCGGGTAAATCTTCTGGTAGCCTATGAAGTCGCCTGTCCCTCCCTTCTAACAGCAGCAGTGCTCGGTTCACCGCTGAGATACCATTTGTTATGCCCTCCTTGCCAAGAGCCAGGGTGAAGGGAGATCTGGGAACGTTTCAGGGTAAATTGAGGATCCCGAATGAGTGGCTTAGAGAGCCTCTTGTTGGCAAGTTCTGTTCTGCAGCATGATCTTCTCTCCGGATAGTAGATGCACGGTATCAGTCATTGTGCTATTTGCAGGTTAGTGTGAATATGGGCACAATTTATTAATTCATCAATGCTTAAAGACAGTTTCTAACATAGATCATGTGTTTTTACACATACAAAAATAGTTTTTGTTGAGATAAATTGTATATTTCCTGAATGAAACTAGTAACATTGTTCTTCTTTCTTTAATTGACCTCACAAAACTGTAAGAAATTAGCAGCTACTTCTTCCCTGGCATAGTCAAAAGGAGAAAATACTGAACGGTCATCAAATTAAATATAGTTCCATCATCTCCTGTACCCAGCTCAGATCTTCGGCCTTGTACCACCTCATTGACCTTATGTGCAGGTTGGCAGACTCCGGCCCAAGCTGTAGCTCCTCTGTACAATCATAACTAGCCAGAGGTGCTGTGAGAACTGCTTTGTGGCATTTTGTGCAGGTCAGTCAGTCTGGCAAGGAGAATCCAAGAGACAAGCACAGGTTGTCAAACACTTGGGCTACATCTACACTGCGCATTGTTGCGCAAGAAGATATGCAAATGAGCCACCATTTTTGCACAAGAAGCTGTCTACACTGCTCCCTCTTGCGCAGGAAAATAAGCAGCAGAACGGCTCCTGTGCAAGAGGGGGGTTTTGCACAAGGAGCAGTGTAGACAGCTCCTTCTTGCACAAAAGCCCCCTCTGAAAAAAATGGCAGCTCATTAGGTATGCAAGTGAGGCACGGTGATATTCATCCACGCGACTCATTTGCATATCTTCTTGTGCAACAATACGCAGTGTAGACGTAGCCTTGGATTCTGCTTCTCAGCTCTGCCAGAGACTCTGGGTGATTGTGTGAAAATCATCTAACCTCTACTGTTTATTTTCTGAAGTTCAGCTTTACAGCCAGGGAGGTGAGAGGAGCGGTTTATTAGCATGGCGAGAGCCTCACGATCAGATCTCTTGTTGTTGCCATTCCTTCTTAGGACACTTCTCTTGTGCTGCTACTACAAACTGTGTAGCAAAAACCTGACACTACTGGGAATGTGCCTTTTGCTGAGTCACTACCCTACATTATCGCTGCCGCCTCCATTGGGGTCCTAGAGCCTGGCTCTGTTGGCTGTTTGGTGCATCATGCACAGAATTAGATTTACTGCTCCAGGTGGCAGGGTCCAGGGGCTGTTCACAATACTGCGAAGCATTTAGTACACTTAGGTGCATTCAATACCATCAGCCTTTCAGCATGGTGGAGGGACTTCTTTCAAACCTAGTCAGCTTCGTTTCTTTGACAAACGTCTGACATTAAATGTCAGAGTATGGAGCAGGGATAGTAATGGGTAACCAGTGGGGGCTCCAGCCCTCAAGGGGGGCCCCCTGCAGGCCAGGTGCTTCAGCGGGTGGGCCACTCCAGCCCACCAAAACTCAGTTAACTATTTAAATGGAATTTTATACCCCTAGTGTGGAGAAGCAAAACATAAATCCTTTCCAAGAACTGTATTCCCCAGCCCCAGAACAAGCGCCTCTGTCCCACAGGCGGTGGGGTTTGTTTTGGTTTCTTTTCTGAGATACTGGAAATTCTTCCCATCTCATATGACATCCTTCAATCTTGCCAATCTTATGTGTAAGCTTCCCCTTCCCCCCCCTTTGGTGTAACACACAATTCTGTTTCAGGTTCAAACAGCACCAGCCTACTGAGACTGCTCTGAAAAATCTGAAGACATTACTAACCTACTGTGAAGACATCTACATGTACTACAAATTGGCTTATGATAACAAGTTCTGTGATGTGGTAAATATGCTTTTGAAGGATGCGCAGACTGGCTGCTGTCTAAATGATATGCTGGCAAATTAGATTCCAGTCTCAATTACATGAAGATTCTAGTTCAGATAAGAGCAAGTCCTGTGGCTTGTGCTCTGATTTAAAAACCCTCCCCGTACTTTCTCTACTCCAGTGCCTGGTCTCGTTTAACACGGTGTACGCGGCTAGATGCCTTTTAAAAAATGGTTGCAGTAGATGAAAGTCCAGCACTGTTTTGATCTTCCCTCAAATGCAGACTCAAAGTAGTTTTAGATATTCAAATCAGAGTTAAAACAAATTTGTGACAGCCTCGTGGGCCTAGGAGATTCTGTTCTGACTACCCAAGTGGGATTTCAGCTAGGCCTTTTCCTAAAATGGCTCTCTTGGCTAATTCAGGGAGCTAGGTCACTTCAGCACCCTCCTTAAAAGCAAAAAACTGACCACTGCTGCACAAGTAATGGGTGTGCTACGTACAATAACTTAACTGAGTATCAGATGAAGTATTTCTGTTCACAGCAGACCATGAATGCTGGTAGAATATTTAAAACATATTACAAAGTCTATTTTCTCAAAATCCTCAGAGGAACCTGGTTTCTTAGGATACTCCTCTCTAGCACTTTATGCAAGTGAGAGATTATTTTAACCTGCCCTGATGTAAGATTTAGGGGAATATTGTAAGTCCGTGACAAGACTGGAGTACCTCTGCATTAACAATCAGCTTTATATTTAACAGACTTCAGATATTGGTCTTTGCTTTTAGAGTACCTTTTTGCACCAGTGAGAAACAGAATTTGTTACATAAAAGTGAGTTTGTATTGTGCAGTCAAAATCAAGTTTTAGCAAAGTGTCTTAATGTTCACCATATACTTTTGTTTGCTGTTATAGTTGTATTATAAAATCTTCACCTCTAACATAGATACTGGCTGGTTGGGAATAAACCTCTTTCGAGCTCTATGCATTTTAGAAAACTCTTGCTTAAATATTAGTTCCTAATTTTGTCTTACTGCAAAAGTAAATCACTGATGCCTTGAGGTTGGGGGAGGAGGTCATTTTTCATGTGCACCAGCTGTTTAAGGCACACTTACCCAGAAGTGTTTGGAAAAGGGGAGGGGGGGGAGGACTATTTCCAGTTTTCTGAAGAGTTCCAAAGACAGCTAGCAAATAATACTTAAGACATTTTCCCCTGAAATCTTCTGCCAAGTCATGTCTACAGTATGGTCAGTGGCATTCCCAGCTGTTCAATACCAAACTGTTTATTTCTGAGTGTCTTTCAACAGGCTGCTTAAGTGTTTCCTGATGGAAGGTTCATTCTTAACTGGTGTATAGGGGAGCTGAGAGGAAGAGACCAAGTAACCCTTTCTCATGCAGTAGGCTGCTTTGTCTCACTCTTGCACTAGATCCAAAGAGTGGAGTCTCCGCTAAGATGAAGGAAGGGTTGTTTCAGGAGTTCCTTGCTCCCCCTTAGCTAAGAATTGCTTCCGTGGAGTAGCAATGAAGTCTTGTGTACTTCAACTTCTGCAACTGCTTCCATGCTTAAATTGAGGTTTAATTAGTAAAGTCGTTAGGAAGTATCCAGTGTTTGTATGACAAACCGGTGCTAACTTTATTGAAGTCAGGGGACACATCCAGCTTTGGCAATGGTAATGGTGGCTGAATCCTGGAAACAGTAACATTCCCACTAAGGATGTAAAACTCAGACACTTTATGGCTCAGCTAGAGCCACTGTTGCCGCCTCTGGGGAGGTTTCAAACATTCCCCTGCTATTAAAACTATATATTCCCACACTGGCCCCAGTTACAGACTGCCCATCACACATTCCATTAAAGAGCTTTAGACTACAAATCTGGCCCTTAACAGAATTCCAGTTTTAAGCAGGAACTCTGTGTAATGCAGAACTTGAATGAGGAGAGATGACAGTGATTTACCTGTTCAGTCTTGTCAGCTGTGACACCTCTGCTAGCACCTCACACTAACAGCTTTTCTCCCTTTATAGTTAAGGGAACACTCAATGCTAGTTCTCTCCCACCAAGGGTCCACACCAAAGCCCCATGTTAAAAACCTAAACAAAATTGTGTGCTGCATGCAGCAAAGGATGAAGTCTTTGTGTTATTTTTACTAAAAATAATTTCAGCCCTGTGGTGTGCAAAGTGCTAGATTCAGCTACCAAACCCTGGGTCTCACTGCTGAATGCCCAAAGGCTGGCAGTACAGTGAAACAATTTTACACTTTATCAATTTGAACCACTAAGTAAGCTACACCAAGCAACTGGACATCCCTACTGTAGGGACAAGCTGCTCTGGCAGTACCCCCCAGTGGAGCCAACAGCCACCTCAGGAATAGGAGAGATTATTTAGGGAACATGTGAAAAATCAGGTAAAAACAGACATTTAACCGGCCTGAAGGGTATAAATGCTACCTTACTGCACTATAACTACTTGGTAACCAGCCTTCGGTTTATGTTTTGCTCATGCTATGCAATGAACCGGGAAAATTAAACCCACCCTCTTTACATGCAAGAGAATCCTCTTTTAAGCTTACCTATGTGGCCCAGAAACACTATTCTGGAACTTAGTTTAGCACTAAAAAAGTACTGCCAATACACAAGCTCTGAAGTCCTCACAATGGTGATTTTATTAAATTAGTTGCTTTATAAAACATTGCAGATGTCTTAATTGTTAACATAACAATTTGCCCAACTGTAGTAACTGCTGCAGTTTGCTAAGCAGGTTTTTGTAAATGAAAGAAGATGGTAAAGTCCTGTGAAAGTTCTATCACAGCCTAGGAGAACAAAAGAAATTTGGTTTGCAGACTCTTAACCAGGCAGCTAACTGCTAGAAAATAACCAACCTGTACAGCTGCTTTAGTAGAAATATCCAAGTAAATGTAAACTAACTGCTTATACTGAAGATATCACAAGTCATTTTTCAGATGCAATAAGGAACTTTGACCAAAATAAGTTTTATTTTAAAATGTCAAGCTTTGAAAGAATGGGTGTGGCTATCATGTGATTAATTCTCAGGTGCAAGTATCCTTTGAAGGTAGCAGTCCCCATCTATTTAAAAAACCAAGCTCTAACTCAGACAAAGCAATTTTAATAAGTGCACACCATGCCCTTGCAGCAAATTGCTTTCGTTCATAAGAGAAATCATCCAAGGGAGGTACAGTTAAGGCTGTATTACTAATCTGTGCTGGTAAGAATACAACTTCAGCTTTTTTGAAATCCATGTCCAATTTAGTGGTTCTGTTACTATGAAACCAGATAGCAACAATTCAAAACATTATTAGAATTTTATTTTTTCTGTGATTTATATAGCAATCGAGTTTCATCGTTTTAACCCCTTGACGGACAGGTATCCCAATGCTTTAGCACCACCCTATCAAAGAGTTAAATAACCAGCACAAAGATACTGCACTTTCAATTGTAGCATTTGGCAGAATTTAAAGGAAAAGAAATTGTGCTACATGTTTAAAGGTTTATGGGCAACAGAAAGACAACACTAGGGAAGATAAATGTCACATGAAGTCTTCAAAATCTTGTACATAGCCTCCATCATATCCTCCATAATCTGCCAGATCATCTTTCATAGTGGCCTTTAAACCACCTCCAGGCACAACCCCTTTTTTCTTCTTTTTGGCTTTACTTTGCTGAGGAAAGACCAAAAAAAGCTTTGGTTTACTTCAGAGTCAATATTCAATAGAACATGCTAATTTCCTAGAAGAGATGGTAAATATATGAAGGATATTTTCCCCGACTATCCTCTGTTTCCTGTCTGGGTACTGAAATACAGCACACGCAAGTTCCCCTGCACTGCTGATCTGTTAGTTGCAAAAGTGTTCCCTTTCCATCATGTAATATTTGTTTGCACTATTGTAGTTGAATTTTCCCCTAAAGGCAACTGAATTTCAGTTCAAGTACAACTCTTCATGGCAAAGCTGCTCTATTTCAAGCACACTTGCGTCCCCCATAATCAGACTAGCAGCACGTACTCTCGTCCACTGAAACACTTCACTAAATCTGTTTGGTTGTCTGCTGCCCAAAGTTTACTTTCCTGGAGAAGAAAGTGCAAAGTTACAGAAATTCAGTTTTATACTGTTACTGATTCAGTTGGGAATCTTTAGAGTTGTATAGTGCTGCCCATCACCACAGTACCAAAGCACTAACAAAATCCTTAGTGGATGTATATAATTTCTGGCTCTGTGAAGATAAAAACTCTTCTGCTTGGGCATTACAGTCTTTGGTTGATATTAAAAGAAAACACAAACCCGAGTTCAGTTCAAAATCGCTTGCCAGTGATGTGTTGAAAACTTTGGAATATCACTTTATAATATTGGCAGAAGAGCTGCACTATGAGTTACTGAATTAAGGAGCAAGCTTTTTCTTGCACAGGATTAACAACCTATTTGGTGTGTTCTTTGTGAATGGATGTGGCAAAGATGTCAGGCATGGCAGGATTAATAAAAGTGATGTTAACTACACCACAGAGAAACACCTAATGCGGAAATTGGAGAGGTTTTGTCAAGTTTAACTTCCTGATGAAACTCAACTACCAAACTCATAAAACTAACAGAGAAGCACAATAGCCTAACTACATTCAGCCACACTTGCACTTGGCCTCTCCTCAGCTTTGTAAAGGGATAGGGAAAGTTGTAAGAGTCTAGTTCTATTAGAAATGCAGAATTAGTTCAGTATCACTCTATAGAACAGATTATATGGTCTGCTAAACAACCAGTAGGTCTTTAGATGCTCAAGGAGCACTCAAGAATGATACGGCCATTTTGGAGAAACTGAGCAAATTCTTTGAATTGGTCTTCATGGCTGAGGATGTGAGGGAGATTCCAAGAACCTGCGCCATTCTTTTTTAGGTAACAAATCTGAGGAACTAGCCCAGACTGAAATGTCACTAGAGATGGTTTAGGAACAAAATGATAGCTAAACAGTAACAAGTCACCAGGACCAAGTGGTGTTCACTAAGTTCTAATGTGAAATTGCAAAACTATTAACTCCTGTCTGTTTCTATGGATGTAAAATCTGTTTTAGTTAACTGGTAAAATATATTTAACCTGCTAACCAGGATTGGCGGGGGCTGCTCTAGCCCCTGCCAGTTAACCATTGACATCCCTAGTCTGTAAACTATTCTTTAAATCATCTTCTGTAACAAATGGCTGGAAGACATCTAATACAACACCAAGTTTTAAAAAGGGCTCCAGAAGAGATCCTGGCAACTGCAGGCTTTGTAAGCCTGACTTCAGTACCAGGTAAACTGGTTGACATTACAGTAATGAAAAACTGTCAGACACTTAGATAAATACAAATTTTTGGAAGAGGGGAGGGGAGTCAGTTTTTTTAAAGGGAAATCATGCCTCACCAATGTATTCGAATTCTTTGAAGGGGGGGGGGGGGCAAGCATGTGGCTATAGTACACTTAGATTTCCAGAACAGCTTTGCTTAAGAGCCTTTGGTGAGGGACCTTGTTAAAGTAAGTTGTCATGGGATAACAGGAAAGGTCTTTTCATGGATTGGTAACTGGTTAAAAGACAAGCAGTAGGTATAAATGGTCAGTTTTCAGGAGAGAGCACTATATACTGATGTCCCCCCAACAGGTCTGGTTGGGGACCAGTATTATTCAACATATTCATAAATTATCTGGAAAAGGGTAAACCATGAGGTGGCAAAATTTGCAGGGGATACAAAACTACTCAAGATTAGTTAAGTCCAGGCAGACTGCAAAAGGATCTCTCAAAACTGGGTGATTAGGCAACGAAATGACAGATGAAATCTAATGTTGATAAATGCAAAGTAATGCACATTAGAACACATATCCCCAACCATACCTATAAAATGATGGGGTCTAAATAAACTGTTAGCACTCAAGAGTGAGTTATTGGAGTGATGTGGCTATTTCTCTGAAAACATCTTCTCAATGTTCAATGGAAGTCAAAAAATTGAACAGAATGTGGGGAATCATTAAGGAAGGGAGAGAGAATATCTTATTGTCTTTTAAAATTCAAGGTATACCCACATCTTGAATAGTGTGTGTAGATGTGGTTGCCTCATTTCAAAAAAGATTGGAATTGGAAAAAGTTTTAAAAAGGGTCTAAGATAGTTACAATCACTCAAAGATCAGAGTCATTGTGTATCGTGATCTGAAACCATCCACTCAATTTAGAGTGGCAGTCAAAAAAAACGAACAATGTTGGGAATCATTAACAAAGGGAAAACAGAAAATCCCTGGTATGTCCATATCTTGAATACTGTGGGCAGATATAATGGTCCCATCTCATAAGAGGTATCTTAGAATTGGACAAGTTCGCAAAAGGGCAACAAAAAATATCAGGATAGGGAACAGTTGCTATATGAGAAATTAATAAAATTGACTTTTCATCTTGGAAGAGACAACTAAGGAAGATATGACTGAGGTGTTTAAAATCATGACCGGTGCTATTTACTCCTGATAGGACATGGGGCCACCAAATAAAATTAATAGGCAGCAGATTTAAAACAAAGGAAGATACAGTCTGTGAAATTCTTTGCCGGCAGATGTTCTGAGTACTAAAACTAACAGATTTTAAAAATCAACAAATACATTCATGAAGGACGGGGTCTATCAATGGCTATTAGCCAGAATGGGGAAGGATGGTGTCCCTAGCCTCTGATTGCCAGAAGCTGGGAATGAGCGGCAGATAACGGATCCTTGATTCCTTGTCCCGTTCATTCTCTTGGGAGCACATGGCACTGGCCACAGTCAGGTGTCCAACCAGTTCTGAAGCAGTAGCCACTCACAACTGGGCAAACAGCCACTTGTGGCTACCGTGTTGGACACCACGGGGTTAGATGGACCTTTGGTCTGACCCACTATGGCCGTGCTTATGTTCTCTTGCCACTAAAGCACTTGAGACCTTGCAATAAATGGTTTCCTTCAGCATGCCTAGAAAGTGTTTCTAATCACCCATGGATTTGGGGTGGAAAGTAGCAGAGTTGTGCATTTGCAGAGCTCTTATTCGTATTTGAAGGCACAGAAGCAATTGGTTTCTTTCCCAAGTACAAGTTTTGAAACCAATCTTATCGCTGTCTTCTGCTGGGCAGTAGGGTTTCCAGTTGAAATGTTCAGTTAGCTGGTTTTTTTAAAACTGATTTTTAGCATTCTGGTGCCACTGGCATTTAACACTGCAATTCCCTCAACTTTAATGCTGTAACTTTTGCACCGAAAACACATTTTACACAATTCGTATCATCAAAAAAAGCATCAATTTAGTGATAACATTGTATCAAATTCACTGCGTGCCTTTTTCACTTGAGTTGAAAGGCACACCAGAGAGGTACATTAACACATCTAGATCTATATTCTGCAACTAAGTCATCCTGATCACATTTAGCTTAGCTTTATTAAAGGCTGAGGACAAAGACTTAAATTGCTTCCATAAATACATGTATCATTCTAGTTTTCTGGCTCTAAAATATCTGCGCTTTTCCTATCCTTCCAGAACAACTGGATACCTCCCATTCTACTTCTACTCCAGAAGAGTGGCGCCAAAAAAAAAAAAAAAAAAAAAATCAGTACAGAGACGGGGGAGGGGAGTAAGTTAAATATTACTGACAAAATGGTGCTTATTTTACATGAGTACATTTGTTTTAAGTTTATGGAGCATTCCCAAATTTAGCTGGGAGACAATATCCTGAATCAAGCATTTCCATTTCAACTGTTTCTTGATAATAAATCTTAAGTCAAAAGCACATTTGAAAAACCTAGAACCCTTTAGATTTATAAAAAGTGCACATCTTGGTGAATATTGGTATCATGCAAGTTATGGAAAGACAATATAGAAAGAGATGCAAGTCTTACCTTTTCTTGTTTCTGTTTTTCACTGCATAGCACTGTCAAAGAATTTGTGATCTTTTTCAAATCATCCACTTCCACTACAGAGAGGAAGAAAATTAGACTTCTACCACTATTGTTTTCAGAAAGTCTTTAAATAGTCAATGAATCCTCTAAAATCCAGTCAGTGGAGATTTATATCTGGCAGTTTACCCCTTCGATTGGAGCCAAAATACTTGTTAATGATGGAATACATGCAGGGCAATGATGGTTCTCAGCATCAGTCTAGGTCAGATTTCACATCCCCTTGATAACTTGTGTGATGAGCAGCAGCAGAGGGTCAATTTAATGATACATTTAGGAGGCCAACATTTGAACCCACTTATAACTTACATTTCTAAAGCTTTGCTACAAGGTTTCAGCCCACCTCCAGCATGGGTCAGCAACTGGTCATCACTCTCCCCGGCACTCCCCCTCCCCCCCCGCCCCCACCTCTTTTAAAATCTTCCTCTGGATCATCAGGAATAGCCATGGCTAAGGATGGGACAGTGGGCAAATGCAGCCATGTCTCAGCTGGCACTAAGAATTCTCGCTCACGTGACTAGCTGGCTCTTGCTCACATGTTCACAGTCTTGCTCATATGCAGTCAGAAAAGAATTTTCCTCCAAGTCAGACTGGCAGTGACCTGGAGGTCTGGTCACTTCCCAGGAGGTCTGGTCACTTCCCAGGATCACCTGGGTATATCCCAATCATTTTTCTTCCATTGTGGGGACCTCACCCCCTAGTGCAACTGCACCACCTATTTATTTTCTGTGGCACATTAGTCTCCTAGTCTAATTTTTAAAGCTGGTCTAATTTTGGTTTTTCAGTACAGCTTTTAGGTTCTGGTGCCCCATTACAAACAGAAGGTCAGACTAAAAGTTGTGTGGTGGCCTCTTCTGGCCCTAAAACTCTATGATAAGCTGCTAGATTTGTAATATGGTCAACTATTTGTGCCTAAAACTTAAATGCTTTGCCTAAAATGTGTGTTGTGAAGGCTTCTGGAGGAGGGGGATGTTACATGCATTTAATGCAATTTGACAGTCCATGTTAGAGGATTTGGACTCCAGTCTAACAGTTCAATATCATTAGGCCAACCATCCACAATGTATTTATGTGGCACCAGCCACAATGTCAAATTGCCACTATGCTAAAGGACTTAGCATACAAGCACAGGAAAAAGGAAAACCTCAAAACAAAATTATGCACCAAATACCCCAGCCAGCCAAAGCAGTGAAAACAAGTCAACTGCAGTTTCATTTCAACAGGTAAGTTCTCTTTTGTAATTAAACACTTAAAGCACTTTTAATCTCCCAGTGTTGCATGAACTCAATTTTGTATCTCATTCCCCTACTGAGCTATTTAGAATTACATAAATTGGGGAGCCTTTTCCTCTTCTTGAGCAGAGATTCTGCTGGGTTGTGCAAGATTTAGATAATACAAAGTTTGTCTGTATGTTTAAGTGAGCTATCCTGACCTGACAGCACCATGCAGTGAAGATCAGTCATGTAGAGGAAACACCACCTGCATTAAAAGATGAAGAGCATGCAGGTAGTGATTCCCAGTAAGGTACTAGTCAAAAACATCTCCAGGAGGGGTATCATGCATCATTTAATGTAGGACTGCATAAATTTCAACTCAGATTTATTTGATTAATATGCTTGCTACTTTTGCCCTCTACGGAATGCGCTAGGAAATCTGACACGTGAAGTAAAGACTTACATGAAATACATACGTCTCGAACTAATGCTTCCAAAAAACTGGCATAATGTAGAGATTTTTCATACTGTGTAATTTTTTCTTTTAATAATTTGCCAAATTCTGTAAAGTCGTCTTTTGACAATGGATTCATGGCATCTATTCCACAAGTATTATTTACACCTGAAAAGAAAAACACAGTCTCAGGAAAAACACTGGTGCATTTAATTGTCGTTTGTGTGGGAGTCAGACTGACCTCGCTACAAAAGCCCCGTAGCCACAGATCAGGTAGCTTCTCTCTACTTCCCTTCAGTTCCTCACATGGGGTGAAATGATCAAGGCAGCCAGTGACACCAAGACTTGAACTGAATCTGACAGCTCAGTTCAGATTAAGCAGCTCTTACATGGCAGAGGCCAAAACTTCAGTTACTAACAATATGCTGCATTTGACACAGTGATTGAAGTGAAAGGCTACGTAGCCCATGAGTTTTACTGAACCATCTATTCTCGGGAATACTACCAGGGAGAGTATTGTCTCCTGACAAATTCTAGGCATCAGGCTTAAGTGCTAGGTTTAATTGGGATCTTTTAAACTGACCTTTAGGATTGTGATTTGTCCAAACCAAAGCAGACCCGATTATTTTTGGAGAAAATCACTGACAAAAACAACAATGAAAGCAGTCCCAGGAAACATGAAGTGTATATTAACCCCCAGAGCTCTTTTTGTGATGGTACACACCAGTACGGCTACCAGCACCTTCTAGTGAGCACTCGTGCTGTGCTGCTTCCCCCAGCACAGCCCCTGGCCCTTGGAGCACTCGCGCAGTGTCACTTTCCCCAGACACGGCTGGGGTGCACGGCTTAGCTGGGCCGGCAGGGTGGGCTGAACAGCAGAATGCGGCTCCACTGCTGGGGCGGAAAAGTAGCACATGGCTCAGCTGGACTGTGCCAGTGGAAAAATGGTGCACGGCTCAGCTGGGCTGGGGGTGCAGAAAAGTGGCGGGTGGCTCATCTGGGCTGGAGGGGCTCAATGAACTGACAGTAGAGGCATAGCAAGGAGGGGAGCCCAACACTAGTTGAGGTGGGACCAGAGCACACACCACACAGGCCCACGTGATGCACAGAGCAGAGATCCAGGAGTTGGGCCACGTACTGCCTCCCTGTACACACAGTGAGCCGAGGCAGCTGGGCTGGAGGAAGGAGCGGCCACTTTAAAGATAGGTTACCTTACCCATCCCGTTCCTCCCTGCCTGGCCCGGCAGGGGGGGGAATTGGGTGGTCTGAGGGAGGGGTCAGTTTTGGTCCTGGCAGTGCTTTTTTTGTGACAGTACACCCCTATTTTCCCAACATACCGTAAATGAATGGCATTCCCCTCAGGCGTACCAGCACCTATTGGCATTTATTTTTCCTGGGGCAGCTTGGTTCCCAACAGAAGCCCGCTCAGGATACACAGGTATTAAAGGGGCTGCGACCACATTTTGGTCCCCAGTGCAACTTTATTTTTTTGCTCAACAACTTTCCCCTGGAGGATCAGCACCATTTTTCTTACCAAAAAAAAAGCCACGTTAAACCCAATACATAATTCAATTGGTAAGAAGGATGAAAAAATTGCTTTAGTTATTTGAATTATATTTTTTTAAATAAACCTGTTCAAATCTAATCTGAATTTATAGACTACTTTAAGGCCCAAATTTATAATTTCACAAATATAAATAAATAAATATGCTGAAATCCATGAACTTCTATCAGAAACAGTTAAGTTAAAGGCTGCTTTTCTATATAAAAAGAATCAGTGGGAAAATATCTAATCTCTTAAGGTCAAACTTTGTAGTTTATGACCTCTTGTGCCATATTTATACTGAGGCCTTGTTAGAGTTAATAAAGTTAGTTTTATATTGTAGGGTGATCAATTAAATTTCAGTCACCATCCTAATGCAAAACATGAGCAAAAAGTTAATTTGTCAAATAAGCAATACATCCGTCACGATTTTATCCCGTACTAAAAATGTATGATTAATAAGAATTTGAAAGTATTAAATATGATAGCTTAGATAAACATATGCTCTCCTAAGTAGCATAAAGATATACCAAATTTATTGTGAAAACTCCATTTAGTTGTGAATCAATGTGTTTTAACGGTATATTAACAAATGAGAACACGCCTGGCTTTAGAAAACAAATACAAGTGGAAAAAGTTGATTAAAATAGATTAGAGTCACCAAATGGAAAGCCTCACTTTAAACTCCCTTGATTTTAAATCAATTCCTGTTTGTAGGGGAGTTTATCAGTATTTTGTCCTTTCCTGACAGAATTAACAAGACAATAGTGAGATCCCCAACCAAGTTAAATGTACCATTCTCGCAACTGTTCTTAGAAGCCAAGAACTCTTTCACCAACTTTACTGCTTTTTCAACACCTAATTCAGTGGCTCTCCCATTCCCAGATCTCTGTACCTCTTTCAGCCATCTGATTTGTCTTGCCTATATCTAAGTTTCACCTCATTTACAGAGTCAGGCAGAAAAATACAAGAATGTCATAGCACACTTACTGAAAAACTGCTTACTTTGTCACCCCTAACTAGCTTTCTACAAGCAGACATGTAAAAAAGACAAGTTTAGTTTCTAAAGATGTTGTGTAGTGATTGAAATTAGAGAGTCATTATGATGTATGTTTCCAGATACAAAGAGACACATGGTTTGATCACAAACTTCTGGTCTATATCAGCATAACTCACATCCACTGGTAACACTAGAATCCAAATTAACAGAAGTTAACTGATATTTATGTGTGTTATAGGATTTTTTACCAAACATACCATGTCTTAAAGGTTTTCAATACCAAAGGTATCAAGTCTTACGTACAAGTGTCACAGTATTAAAAAATTTTTGAGAGAGAGAGAGAGAGAGAGAGAGAGAGAGAGAGAGAGAGAGAGAGAGAGAGAGAGAGAACGAACTCTGAAGTGCTTGGTTTAAAAAAAAGAGAGAGAGAGAGAAATGGTTATGGATTAGCATTAGCTGGATGTGAAGTTTCAGCCTGATTTTTATAACAGTTAAGAGAAATAGCCCAGCAGTCCTACATCTATATTCCTCTCTACGTGAAAGCTAGTTTTAGAATGATTGTAGTTAACTTTCCGCATTACTTCTTATAATGTGACACCACCAACTACTTGCTTACATTAGCTGTGTCCACACTCACCAAATGTTTCTTTTGCTAATTCAAGATCTGACTCCTCTTGTAATTTTTTTAGCCGTAGTTTGTCTGCTGCCTGTTCTTCTGGTGTAAGTTCTTTAGACTCCTCTGGTGCCTCTAACTAAAAAGACAAAGTAGATTGATTGGTTTTGGTCATTGTTGCCAAGCATGCATCACTAATTTACTCAAGTCTCTACAAAGTCAGTTTACATTGGTGGCAAGTGAATAACATTTCTTGCCCACGAATGGAGCGGTTGCAAGAAGAGTGGTTATTTCATCAAGCTATCGCAATAGTATGCTTCTATTTGAATTAGTTACCCCCAAAGCACAAGCTTTCTGTTCTTACCAGCAAGCCCAACACTTGTGTTTAAACATTCCAAGTTGAAATACTGATACCCACAAGCATGCTACATGTAGGCAGAAAAATACCAAATCCTCAACAAAAGTAATTTCACTAAGTGGTGAGTATTAGAACCTCAATGTACAGACTTAGAAAAAGGATGAAATATGAGTTCTTCTGCAGACTATCAGGAACATTCTTCCCCAGAAGAACAGGAGGATAACTCACTGTAGGGGCAAATCATACACATCAGGCCTTTAATTCTGACACTACTTTTTTTGTAGTCTAAAAAAAGTAGTAAGCAGATCTCATTCCTCCCATCGAAAACTGAAATCCTGGCAGTGAAGTCTTACTCTTTTTTTAATCTCCTCTTGCTTTTTCTTCTGCTGCTTTTCTCTCTCTTTTATTTTTTCTGCTATTTTCTTCTTCTCTGAAACTTTTGATTCTGTAAAAGAGCGGACAAAGTCTTTAAGAAATCTAGTGCATAAAGAACATTGTCATGATGTGGAGGGAAAAGCAGCTACAGCTACGATCCTATTCGGAGACCAGAAGTAACTACTGTAAACATGCATTGTCACCAACACACACAGTCTGTTGTGTCCAAAAATTACTGTTTGTAAACTTGGAACACAGAATCAAATGGTTTTCTTGGTTCTATATACAATGAAGTGTGCTCTTCCCACAGTCCTCACCTGCTTTTATCTCGGTCTCTTTTTCTTCTTCCTCCTCCTCCTTCTCCTCCTCCTCATCATCCCAGTTATCCTACCAAACAGGAAATAGTATGAGTTATCAGTATTTTTACTTTACTTTTGAACCACTAACAGTATCTGTGCGGAAAGAATATCTACACTGAACTTTAGTCATTAAAACTTTTTGCTGAATGACAATATTTTGAAGATGAAAAATGTGAGCGTGGATAGCACTGTCTTGGCAGGAGCTGTTCTGAAATGACTACTCTCCTTACGCAGCCACGCCACTATAAAGTGTGCAGTGTAGAGACTAGGGATGTTAAAATGTGTTTAAGTATTTGTGTAACTGCTGAAAATTGCTGGCTCCCTGTGCTTACCGGGAGCCTGCGTGGAACCATGCATGTTAACAGATGTGCTCAGGCTCACCGGGTAACGGCGTACATGGTTACACTTTCACATCCCCAGCAGATTCATAGACTGAGGGCTTGTCTCTACTATGCTGGGGATTGAGTTTGCAGCGATTGATCGACCTCACAATTAAGCAGATGCCATAAATCGATCTCTGAACACTCTCCCATGGACACCAGTACTCCACTAGGATGAGAACAGTAGCCAGTGTCAACAGGAGAGCAGTCCCCACCGACCTTACCACACACAAGATGCTGTGGTAAGTACGGTGACTTCAGCTATGCTATTTGCACAGCTATACTATTTGCACAGCTGAAGTCACATAGATTGAAGGAGGGGGTTAGTATAGACAAAGCCTGAGAGTCTATCATGGTAAAAGCAAAACTCATGCTCAACACAGTTCCGGAAGCAAGACAAAAAACTCTCACAATTTAAAGGGTAAAAAATTCAGTGTTAAGACAATAATTGATGAGAGACATTATCTGATAACATTAGAATGATCTGATTTTTCTCTATGGCATATCCATCGCCAGAAACAAACCAAGCTAAGATGAAAACAGAGAACGCTGCGTCATAAATTAAAATCAGGGCCGAAAGCTCTGATAGCAGTTAGGGATATAAAATTTCAATTATTTGACTAATTAAATAATCGATGCAATTTGCATCAACTATTTGATTAGTCGATAAGCAGCCCCAGGGCTGGTGCTACACTTGAAAGGCAAAAGTGCTGCGGGGAACACAGGGCCAGTGGGGGACTGGGCAGTCCCCCACTGGCCCAGTGCTCCCCGCAGTGTTTCGTTATCAGGGGAGTTCCCAGCTGACCCCAGGCTCCATGCAGCGCCGCCACTTTGAAATGCCATGCGCAGCCCAGGGCCAGCTGGGGACCCCGGGCTGCACGCAGCATTTCAAAGAGGCAGTGCCATGTGGAGCCCAGGCTCTGGCCCCAGGTTCCATGCAGCGTTGC